TATTTAAAAAAGTAAAAGTGAGGTTTTGGCTTTCTTAGGAGAATATCTACGTGTGCACAATTACTGGGCAACTATTAGTGTGCAGAATTATTATGTAACTAAATAAAAAATAAAAATCTGCCTATCTCACTCATTTATTTGCATGTGTTAAAGTGAGAATAAGAAACAAACAACTCAAAATGTACAAATAAACATTCCTGACATTTAAAAAAAAAATCAGTGACCTAGATAGCCACCCTTCTTTTCAATAATAGTCATAAGCTTCCATTCATGGAGTCTGGTCAGTTTCTTGATCTGTTGACGATCAACGTTTTGTGCAGCACCAACCACAGCCTCCCAGACCCTGTTCAGAGAGGTGTACTGATTTCCTTCACCGTAAGCTTTCCGTTTCAGGAGGGCCCACAAATTTTCAGTAGGGCTTAGGTCAGGTGAGGAAGGGGGCCATGTCATTATTCTTTCATCTTTGAGGCCTTTACTGGCTAGCCACACACGGATGCATGCGATAGAACACTGTCCTGCATAAAAATCATGGTCTTGAAAGATGCAGACTTTTTCCTGTATCACTGCTTGAAGAAAGGTGTCTTCTAAAAACTGACAGTAGGTTTGGGAGTTGATTTTTGAGTCCATCTTCAACCCAAAAAGGTCCACCAGCTCATCGTTAATAATATCAGGTCCCCACCTCCACCTTGCTGGCAACTGAGTCGAAGTGCCTATTACTGGTCCAGCCACGGGCCCATCCATCTGGTCCATCAAGAGTCACTCTCATCTCATCAGTCCATAAAACCTTTGAAAAATCTGTCTTCAGATATTTCTTGGCCCAATCTTGCCGTTTCAACTTACGTGTCTTGTTCAGTGGTGGTTGGGTTTCAACCTTCCTTACCTTGGCCATGTCTCTGAGCACTGAACACCTTGTACTTCTGGGCGCTCCAGGTAGTTGGCAGTTCTGGAATATGACAGCATTGGAGCACTACGGGTTCCTGGTAGCTTCACGTTTGATTCTTCTCAAATCTTTGGCAGTTACTTTGCATCTTTTTTTCTCAACGTATTTCTTGTGACCCTGTTGACTATTTGCAACAAAACGTTTGATGGTTCTGTGATCACACCCCAATATCGTAGCAATTTCAAGAGCGCTGCATCCCTCTGAAAGACTTTTTACAGTTTTTGACTTTTCAGAGTCCGTTAAACCTCTTTTTTGGCCCATTTTGCCTGAGGAAAAGAAGCTGCTTAATAATTATGCATACTTTGATATAGGGTATTGATCTCCTTAGGCTACACCTTCCCTCATTACATAAATACACATCACCTGATATGCTTATATCCACTAAGCATTCGAGTTTATACAGCTTGGAGGTGGAAAATATGCGTGAAAATAATATGGTCAAAATACTCGCTTGCCTAATAATTGTGCACACAATGTAGTTAGAAAGTCAGTTACATTTCCATTCTTTAGATTTATTAGATTGCTATCCTCATCTTCAACCTAGTAATTGTATAGCTGCAGAGCAGATGCAGCAGTGTGTTTGATCTATGAGTTGAGATCTATGAGTTGTTGACTTTAGATCTTTGCTTGTAAATCTAACTCTAAAGCATCATATCCAGCAGAGATATGATGAGAGAGCAGAGATACTTACAGGAACTGGCTGTCTGCTCATTAGGTAACTATTGACTTTCAGCTGTTTTGTGGGCTTGGAATAAGCCTGTGTTGTGGAGTGTGCACGACATCTTCTCCTTTTTCTTCCCATGTTCCCAATTCTTGCTCAACTCCTTCTGAGTGTTGAGCCCCCAATAAGACAGCAGGGTGGTGTGGTATTTAAAGCAATGGATTAAAAGTACGAGGATAAAATAGTACTCCTTCACAGGAACGCTTTATAGCAGATGCTGCCTCTTCGTCATCTTGGCTCTCTTTTTTTTCTCCCATACAATCATGTCCAATTCTCAGATTGCCTGGATGAGTCCCTGCAGTTTTCTTGGCAAAGTTTTTCAGAAGGGGCTTGCCACTGTCTCCTTCCTAGAGCTGGAATTAGCCCAAGATAACCCAGCTGGCTTTGTGATGGATGATGATGATGATGATAATAATAATAATAATAATATCTGTAATATCATCAAACATCCACATCTGCCTATCCCAGGTCCTTGGTAAGGACTCAATAGGTAGACAAAATGCCAAATCCAGTCTGAACATCTGGCTGACTGTGCGATGATCCATAATAATGAGGATGATGATGATGATGTAAGGACTCGATAAGTAGACAAAATGCCAAATCCAGTCTGAACATCTGGCTGACTGCGATGATCCATAATAATAATAATAAACTTGGAAGGGACCTTGGAGGTCGTTTAGTCCAACCCTCTGCTCAGGCAGGAAATCCTATACCATTTCGGACAAATGGTGGTCCAGTTTCTTCTTAAAAACGTCCAATGGCGCATTCACTGCTTCTGGAGGCAGGTTGTTCCACTGGTTAATTGTTCTAACTGTCAGGAAGCTTCTCCTTACTTCTAGGTTGCTTCTCTCCTTGATTAGTTTCCATCCGTTGCTTCTTGTCCTACCTTCAGGCGCCTTGGAGAATAGCTTGACTCTTCTTTGGGGCAGCCCCTGAGATATTAGAACACTGCTATCCTGTCTTCCCTCGTCCTTCTCTTCGTTAAAGTAGACATACCCAATTCCAGCAACCGTTCCTCATATGTTTTAGCCTCCGGTTCCCTAATCATCTCCCAGTTTCTAACCTGATAGCTTAATCACTACACCAAACTGGTTGTCTAATGACCTTCACTTTATTATATTTTTATTGTGGTAACTTGTAAACTTGCTTGCCTCGTTAACTTCCCCTCCCCTGCCATTTTATCTGTATATTTTTTTGAAAAAAATCTTTAAACTTGTATTGTGATTTTGTTATAATCAACATCCTGTTCTACCCCTTATTGCTTACTTTCGGTGGTTCATTTCTACTTTATGAATTTAGTTTTTAATTTGAAAAATTATTACCTAAGAAATTATTTCCTCATTTATTCACATTCTTAATACCATGTTGCAAAATGTTTTGATTTTGGAAATGCTTTGAATTTGAAATTAGGTTCATTTGTCTACTGATTGGAATAACCTGTAAGCCCAATACAGGCATCAGTTGTATCAAGTTCAAAATGGTTTGTTCCAATGCCAGTTTTACTATCCTTCTGGACACCGCAGAAGAATCATACCAACAACATCCATTATAAACCCATCATCAAAACATACACATACTGTACTGTGCAAAAGTGTTAGCCAAAAATGCTGTTAAATTAAGAATGCTTTCAAAAACATTAGTGTTTTTTTTATCAATGAACAAAATGGAAAGTAAATTAACAGAAGAGAAATACGAATCAAATCAATATTTGGTGGGCCACCCTTTGTAAGCAACAATTCTTACAAAGTCAGGGATTTTGTGCAAAGTCAGGGATTTTGTAGGATTAGAGTCAGATGTTTGATTAACCAATTATACCAAGTAGATGCTAATGATCATCCATTTCTTATGTAGGTTGAAACACAGTCATTAACTGAAACAGAAACATCTGGGTAGGAGACTTAAAATTGGGTGAGGAACAGGCAAACTTTGCTATTAAGATGAAGTTGTTGAAGACAGTTTCATGTCAGAGGTCATAAACCATGATAAAACTGCCACAGTAACAAGACAAAAAGATAGTTATAGTACATCAGCAAGATTTCGAAGCAGTGGCCAGCGAGGGAAACTTAATGCAGCACATGAACCAGGTACACCCATCTAATGTCCAGAAGTGGTCTTCATGGAAGAATTGTGGCCAAGAAACCATACCTACAATGTGAAAACCAAGGCTACATTGAATGATGCATGAAAACATAGGAACTTGGGTGTGGAAAAATGGCAGCAGGTGCTCTGGACTGATGAGTCAAAATTTGAAATATTTGGCTGTAGCAGGAGGCACTTTGTTTACCCAAGGGTTGGAGAGCGGTACAATAACAAGTGTTTGCAGGCAAGAGTGAAACACAGTGGAGGTACTTAGCAAGTTTGGGACTGTATTTCTGCAAATGGAGTTGGAGATCTGGTGTCCTCCATGCTGAGAAATACATGCAGACACTTATCCATCAGGGAGCCATGTGACTGGCCCCAAATTTATACTGCAGCAGTGCAATGGCCCCAAACGTACTTCCAATGTCATTAAGAACTATCTTCAGTGTAAAGAAGTAGTAGTAGTCCTGGAAGTAGTCCTAGTCCTCCCCCCCCCCCCCAGAGCCGTGATCTCAACATCATCAAGTCTGTTGGGGATTACACGAAGAGACAGAAGTATTTGAGACAGCCTACACCTACAGAAGATCTGTGGTTAGCTCTCTAAGATATTTGGAACAACCTTGAAAGAACCTTGCTGAGTTCCTTCAGAAACTGTATGCAAGTGTACGTAGAAGAATTGATGATATTTTGAAGGCCAAGGGTGGTCACACCAGATAATTGATTTGATTTGGACTTCTGTTTGTTTACTTTCCATTTTGTTAATTGGTAAAAATAAACTATACATGCATACATTCATATTGCAAATGTCAGACATAAGCTGCTCACTAGAGGTAAGATCAGAGCAACAATCTTAGCTTGCTACTGGTATGCTTAAAGGAGACTCCTTCCACTTAATGTTCCACAAGGATTTAGAGTACTTTGTGGTGAGTTCACCCATTTCAGAATCTTGTTACGTTTGCTTTCCACCTTTGATTTTTTTAGAATACTCCATCACTTGCTTGATATCTGAAGAGTATTCACTTTTTATAGAATCATAGGGCAGGAAAGCAGTTGGGAAGTCTACTAATTCTACTCCCTGCCCAAGGGTCTAGGACAGGGATAGGCAACCTTGGCTCTTTATGACTCATGGACTTCAACTTCCAGAATTCCTGAGCCAGCCATGCACTGTTTCCCTTCTGCTTCCCCCCCCCCCCGCAAATCTTGCTCTCTCCCGTAACCTGTCACCAATCTCATCCCCCTCACAGCCCCCTTGGTCACCCTTCCTGCCTGCCACCCGATTGGCTGGTGACTTCTTGTCCCATGGAGCAAAACACCCAGGACAAAGGGTGTCTGGGTGAATGGGCCAGGAGACCATTGGCCAGGGAGAATCATAGGAGGAGGGCCAGCAGAAGAGGAAAGCTGGCTGTGAATGGGCTGAGGTGGGTGGCTGGAGGTGAAATGAGCGTGGCCAATGGTGGGAGCCTAAAAGTCCCATGCTGCTGTTCAAAGGGTTTTATTGCATCCCAGACAAATGGCTGTCTAATCTTTTCTGGAAAATCTCCAGAACTTATGTAGATCAAATAACTACTCTGTACCACTCTTAAGGATTCTACTATAGCAGGGGTTCTCAGCCTTGGCAACTTTAAGACTTGTGGACTTCAACTCCCAGAAAGCTGGCTGAGGAATTCTGGGAGTTGAAGTCCACAAGTCTTAAAGTTGCCAAGGTTGAGAACCCCTGTACTATAGTTCCCATAAAGGCCTCCCTCATACTACCCCTAAATTTTACAATGGTTCAGATTGGAACTAGAAGGAAATTAATTACATGGAAGTCATACCTAGAAGAGTCAGAGCAAATTCCTTGAGAATAGTTTCTCCTTTAAATGGTCAGTCGTCTCTAATAATTACTGCCAGGTGATCTTTTAGCCAGCAGGTGTAGTATTTGAGAAACAGCTTCACACAAGTTCTATTTGCTTTGTGGGAAATGCATAGACCATGACGGCCATCTATATCTGGGGCTGGTTACCTCAGCATTCACACAAATTGCACTCCTTTCCCTCATATTTTTAGTTTCAGGATAATTTGGGAAGAGGCCAAAATCATATACAAGAATACATGTAGGAGACAATGGCTGCCCTCAACACAAATCCTTGAGCATTAAAAGGCTCCAGATGGCATTTTTGTGTAAATGACGCTACGTTTGTGAACGCAGAAGTGACCACAGTTACAAGAAAACAACCAGTCCTTTTTATTCTGTGAAAAACACCTAATTCCTGGGTTACATTGCTGGAACTCTGACAAGGAATGGGGGATTCGTTTCCTAGGAACCACCACACTTTGGGGCATTATTAGGGTGGTTTTTCTTAATGGCCATTTCAGAACAAACGCTTGTGTGCATCTGCACAATTCAGCATGTTAGACAGGCTTCTCTCCAACATCTGAAAGATTGTCGAGAAAAATACAGTGCTTTCCATTCATTTATATGGGGCTGGTCAGTTATCTAAAGCTGTGGATCCTGATTTATGGCACTCAAAATAACACATTCTTTATCCTGTTTCTGTAATACAGAAAGAGTTTGAAGGAGAACTGTAGATGCTTGAGCTGGTTTACTTCAGTAACTGAAGAAGAAACTGTACAATTGTGTTGTTTTTTTTTTACAGTCCGCATAGAACAGAAGAAATCTGACATATTTAGAGATTCATTATCAGATCTCTGGAAGTGGTGTTTGTCTCTCAAGTATTACCGTACAATGTTCCCACCATACAGGTAGCCTGTTATTCCACATCTCCAGAATTTCATGTACTCCCCAATGATCAGCTGGGTCTTTTTATCTTCCACTGCATACATAACATTATCATCAAGCTTTGAGTCATGCCTTAAAGCCTTTTGAGATTGTAAGTTAAGGGACCAGGTTATCTATACAACTGTTAGGACCATACTACCTACACAACCAAGGGTTTGGGAGTTGGGAACGTTCCTGGACATCTGGAATCCCCCCCCCCATCTCTCTGAATATGCCCCCACCAGGCTCAAGCAATAGAATGGCCAGTTTCTTTCTACTACATAATCAATAGATTTTGTGCTGGTCATTCAAGTTCATAAATTACTGCAGAATCTAATTAGGCCTAAGACCAGTAGGCCCGCTATGGTGTTCTGCTGTGGAAGAGGAGAATGGGAGATAGCTACTATCCCTGATTTTACCTATTAGTGATAGTTTCTTTGAAGCAGATGCAACCTCTGCCCAGTTTTGTAAGAAGTGAACAATTATCAGGATAAGTCATGATCCAGCTTGTGCTGACGAGGAAATAACTGAGCTGCTGGTGATGAAAGAATTGGGCTTCCTTGAAGAAGTTGCTCCTGCAGGCTGATAGTACAGCATTGTATCTGCAAGGGAAAGGACGAGCCTCTGCCCCCCAAAACTCGAGTGTAAAAGTACTATTGAACATAATGTCTATCTTACGCATGCCAAAATTACTCTTTTTTTTTTTTACTCCAATGTGATTCAGCGTTATCAGGTACTAAAAACTGTAAAATAGATCACAAAAAATTGTAAGAAAAGGAAAGGAAGTAGTCTTCTTTCTTCCACTCTCTTATTCTTGGTTTTGCAAGAGATAGAAAAAGTTGGCATAGCGAAACGCTGATTTAAGAATGCAGAGCTGTTACTTAACTGTGGAGTTTAGTACTTTCGCCCATAAGCTATAGTCTGATTATACTGGGAAGGCCGTATAATGTAGGACTGCAGTCATAATGTGTCTTTCCACTAGTGAAGTTGATACAGAATTGGGCCCATTGATAATGTCTTCCCTTATATGACTCTTGACCATAAGCAATGACAATTTGCAAATTTCTAGGACAGAAAATGCCATTTTCTTTGCCAAGAGTGATCATCTATCATCTCTGTTGCTTACTAGTTGCTTACTGATGGTTACGTTTTATCTTGGAACCTGTGCCAGCTGTCTCCTGGTTCAGGGAAAGGCTGGACTGGGACTCCTTGAAGCTGTCTTCTGAGCTGCCCACTGTCACAAACAGGCTGGCTTCCAAAGCTGCCAGATCCTCAGAGCCGGTCTTCAACTTGGTGCGCATTAGAGTAGCATAAATGCCATAGCGTAATTTCTGCAGAAAGCAAGAAGTAACAGGTTTGGTACAGGAGTAACACATAACTAATCTGAATAAGATGACATCATGTTTATGTTCTAGGCCAGGGGTCCCCAACCACGGCCTACTACTGGGCCATGGCCTATTAGCCAATGGGCCGCATGAGTGGCTGGCCAGTGTGTGCGTGCACGCGCATGTGCCCAGTCCCACTCAACGTGAGCATTGCTTCAAGTGTTACAGGTGCTTGTGGCCCCACTTGCGTGAGCAATGGGTGTTCATGCACGCACACGTGCATGCGTTTAACCCCTCCACAAAACCATCCTTTCTTTCCACCCTCCCCCTGCTATAGGCCACCAACCCGAAAAGGTTGGGGAACTCTGTTCTAGGGGTAACGTAGGCACTGGTGACCTCTGGATATTTTGGACTACAACTACGATAATGTCTGACCGCTGGCCGTGCTGATTTCAAATTATGGGAACTGAAATGCAAAATATTTGGAGGATACAAATTCACTCGTAACTGTGTTGCTTTAAATCCTAAAATCGTTATTTTATTCCCATTAAATCAACAAAAGTTAATTATTCCATTAACCCACTGATTTTCAACAAGACTAAAATCTGATTTATTAGTCAGAATCCAGCTACAGCAGGATCATGAGAGCCAAAGAAAGTGTTTATATGTAGAATGAACAGAATAAACAATCCCCACATGGTTTATTGATAGTGGGCTGGTTATTAAGGATTATTAAATAAATTTATGCAGGACATGAGCCAAAATGTGGCTACTGTATCTGTAGTTCTCCACCTACTGTTAGACTGCAACTGTCAGAACCCAGTTATTGGGAGGGGGGTGATTTCCTTACTCTATCTTCCCAAAGAATTGAGGCCTTTGAACTATGGTGCTGGAGAAGACTCCTGCAAGTCCCTTGGACTGCAAGGCGTTCAAACCAGTCAGTCCTAGAAGAGATCAACCCCGACTGCTCTTTAGAAGGCCAGATCCTGAAGTTGAAACTCAAATACTTTGGCCACCTAATGAGAAGGAAGGACTCACTGGAGAAGGGCCTAATGCTGGGAAAGATTGAGGGCAATAGAAGAAGGGGACGACAGAGAATGAGATGGCTGGATGGAGTCACTGAAGCAGTAGGTGTGAACTTAAGTGGACTCAAGAAAATGTAGAGGACAGGAAGACCTGGAGGAACATTGTCCATGGGGTGGTGATGGGTCAGACACAACTTCGCAATTAACAACAACATCTTCCTGCAAGTTCTGCCATACTCCTGGGGGAAGGGGGGGAAGCTATGGGTGCTACAATGTATCCTCTCTGCTTTCCTCTATCTGCCCATTCTTTAATCTATTTCCCTCACTGCCAACCTGGGGTGAGAATGAAATGTGCCTCCAGCCATCTGCCTTATCTCTAGCTGCGGAAGAAGAGGCAGGAAGATCTAACAGCCCAACAGCCTTGGAAATGGCATCTTATCAACCCTGTTCCCACAGCGGGTTCACACCTGGAGATTGGCTCATTTGAGCTGACCAGATGGACTATTGGGATTTGGGTTTGCAAGGACTCTTTTAACCTATCAATTCACACAGGAAACCCTCAGATTCTGCCTTCTATGCCTGCCGTCAACTTCTCCTAATAAAAGTTCCTTTTGGGATGAAGCCGTTCTGCTTTCTTGGGAAGAGGGATTGAGGCAGGTCCTTACAGCAACTCAGTTATCCCCTAACTTTGGCCACAGTAACTGAAGACTCATGGGCATTTGGATGGCCTAATGTTACCTTCTAAAACAGCCAAAGGACACCTCCATATGTAGAGCTAGTACTCTAGAATAGTAGTGGGCTGGAGAGCAAACAATAGAAAGAGTATTGCCTTCATGTTTTGCTTCAAGACTTCCTGCAAGCATTTATGAAGGAATTGTGACCTTCTAAATCAGGGGTGTCAAACTGCCGGTCCGTGGGCCGGATGTGTCATGCCAAAACCGCGCCTACCCCATTGGAAAAAAAGTCGTGATACGTCGCGACACATCACGTGACATTGCAAGTTTGACACCCCTGTTCTAGATCCAAGAGGGCAACATTTACCAACAGCTTTCTCCAAATATCTTTGGCTTCAGCAAATTACTATGGGTAGCCTTAGATCAGTCCTGATGGAAGAGCTACTCAAATGAAAACATTTTCCCTACCATTCTTTTTTGAGAATCTTCTGCTACCATCTCCAACATTGCTTTGCAAGTTCTGTTTGGAAACCGATCTGGCTCTTCCTACTTACTTCAAATATCAGATACTCCTCTTTCTGCTTCAGTTCCTCATACTCCTTGCCTTTCACCTTCTTTTCAGGAAGGGAGGAACGATGTTCCAACAGTTCTGCTGCCATGGCTTTAAATTTGATTTCATGACTCTTCAGTTGCTCTTCCTATGAAGAATGGGGGAAAAAGTTGCTTGGTCTCTATAGTAGGACCTCCTAGTAGCAAATCAGCCCCAACTGGCATTCACAACTTGTTTTCACTTTTCTCTTTTCCCTTTGTGGTAACGTTACCAATTTTATCAGCTCTTTGAATCTCAGTTTTTGCACAGATACATGGACACACAACTCCTGCTTGCCAATTTCAAGACAGTTTATTCAACTCTGGAAGTTTCATTATTTCTCTGAGCCCTTTTTTGCATTAGAAACTTACTATCTTAACTCCATTTAATTTTTCTCTAGTTCTTCCTCCAGAATAATACTAGAATCGCTAAACAATAAAGATGACCCACTTACTTGTGATAGTCTTGTGGAAGAACTGGGCAATAATGGCCGAGTGAATTTTTTTTGGGATCCAATGGCAGCTGGAAATGGCGGTGCGGAAAACATGGCTGTTACCATATTAATCCGTGTGATCCAGGAATTCATTTGTTCTGTGTTCCTGGAGTACAATGTAAAAGAGATATCATTCTCTAAATGATATCATGAGCCAAGAAAGCTTGCCAAAATTGTTTCTTTCAAAAAATAACTTGCTCTCATAACTGTACACAAAAGACATCCCAAGTCCTCTGCTGAAACCCATAAACAATCCCAACCTCTTACCATGCACTTTGTAATTCTTGAAGGCTGTATGTTTAAAAATAAAATCTAAAAACATTTAAAATGATGCTAAGCCAAGGGGAAGAAAAACCCAAATCCACAAAATATCCCAGCGTGTGTAAAAGGTGGCAAAGTAATGTATTTTATGCTAATGTGCTGCTACTGCACAGAGTTTTTTTGGCTATTGTTGCAGTGATCTAGGCAAAATGGTAATATTCTATATGGCCCTTAGTCTGAATATGAAGCTCTATATAGTTTTTTTCCCCCTCTTAAACCTGGAATTTTAAGGAATATTGAAGAGATGCAGTGCTTCTTTAAAATCTTTCTTTGTTTTGAACAGTCAGAAAGGGAAGGAACAATACGGAAGGCTGCATTCAATGATAGCAAAGCTTAGCTCTGCTTTTTTTTCTGATATTACCTATTGTGAGCTGCCTAACAACCAGTAGATCAGCGATGGCGAACCTTTTAAAGACCGAGTGCCCAAACTGCAACCCAAAACCCACTTGTGTCTCATCGGGTGCTGGGTGGGTGTGGGCCCATTGGGTGGGTGTGGCTCCAGTGGTAACGGCAGACTTGGCGGGACTAAAAAGTTCAATCAATTCCAATTTTGCGAGATCTTTTTTTCCCCGCGAGAAGTTGAAATTGATTGATTGATTGAACCTTTTTTTTTGCCCATGGCGGCGGAGGCCTAAAGCAATAAGCTGAAGTCCAAGGACTGGGGCGATGGCACGCGTGCCCCCAGAGAGCGCTCTGCGTGCCACCTGTGGCACGCATGCCATCGGTTCGCCACCACTGCAGTAGATCCTTCTAATAATATAATAAGTAAAATTTCCACTTTTACTTCTAGAACAGGGGTTCTCAACCTTGGCAACTTTAAGACTTGTGGACTTCAACTCCCAGAATTCCTCAGCCAGCAAAGCTGGCTGAGGAATTCTGGCAGTTGAAGTCCTCAAGTCTTAAAGTTGCCAAGGTTGAGAACCCCTGTTCTAGAACTTTCCCTCCAATAAATAAAATTGATCTGATAAATCAATCCCTTTCCCTCATTAGTGGCATCTAATTTACATTCTGTGCCCTCCTGCTTACTGGGCTTGGAAGAGGAAGACTCTCCAGTCAGCTGTCCTTAGATAGAAAACATTGGGTCTCTTGTGGTAATCTGATGCTTGGGTGGCCAGTGAATGATGGATACTGATGGCATTTTTTAGATCTTCCTCAGCCAGGGCTTGGCCAGGTTTATATTCCTCCTGAAATGCAGTAAAGAATAGATATCTGTTATGTTACTTTCCTTTATTGGATCTGTTGTTGCTTTTGGTTATTTTCTACGAACTCCAGCAAGCCCTTTCACTGGCAAAATGTCAGCAATTCTCCACTCTTAAAACTTCAGAAGTTAAAGCATGTACAAACCAAGCATATCATTTTAACATACTGTATATATCCTTTCCAAAAGGAAAAAAAAAGACACGCAGAAAAGGCCTTCATCCTGCAGTGGACAGGCAATGGCTAAAATAATGATATAACTTTATCCTGTCATTTCAAAGGCGTGCAGGTTTTTCTTCCTGATTTATCTTTTAAAATAAGATATACTTCTTCACAAATTCTAAAAAATTGCAGTTCTATAAGGTCAAGCACTTAGTATACCTCACTGCCATGAGGTAGGCCGTTGTATTGTTAATCCTCACTTACTGACCACTTATTCAGCAACAATTTGAAGTTACGACGGCACTGATCAAGGAGAGTTACAATTAGTCCTTGAAGTTGTGGCCATTGCAAGGTCCCACGATCACAAGCTCATGATTAGGGCACTTGGCAACTAGTGCATATTTACAATAGTCATAGCATTTTGCAGTCACATAATTTTCATTTGCAAGCAAAGTCAATGGGGAAGATGGCAGCAAGTTGTAGTCATGTGACATTGCAGTTCACAGTCCACAGTGATTTGTTTAATGACCCACAGTCAGAATTGATATAAATCAGTTACATTGCATTGCAACGCTGCATAGCAATGAAATTGTCAGTCCCAATTGAGGCCAGTAAGTGAGGACTATCTGAATTGTAGCATAGTCCTACAGTCAACTGCAAGACTCTCTCATGCCTTTTTAAAGACAGCTGAAAAGGAGTATGGGTGATAATTGTTTAATTCGCAAAATGTCTGCAGAATGAAGAGTGGTTGCCCTATGCAGCTGCTTGCTAGGTCAGACACCAGCGCTCAAATACTCAAATTTTAAAGCAGATATTTTGTATAAAGTGGTCCTGTAAATTGAAAGGAAAAATTTGAAAAGAGATCAGAGAGAGGGAAAAAAAAACCCAAGGTATGTCAGTGCGTAAAATGAAAAGTGGTTATTGCTCTTATAGGAAAGATTTTTTAAATGTTATTTTGCTGTTGTGGAAGAAGACGATTCCTCTCTATCCAAGAAACGGACTGTCCTAATCAGTACATGAAAGAGCATAAACTCTGGCAGAAAAAAACTGTAAAATGACAATTTCTATATGCATTTGCGACTTTGAGCCACATTACTGTTGGCGACATAATTTAGGTATCTAAAATCATGCATGGCATGGAGAAAGTTAAATTTTTATCTACATCTTAAGAATAGTATCCAGAGTCTAATGATTTGAAATGGTTAGAAAGAGATTCAGAAGAGACAAAATAACCACTTCTTCCCACAGACCATAATTAACCTGTGAAAATCATTACTACAAGAAATGGCAATAGCCAGCAATTTGGATAATTTTAAAATTAGCGGAGGACAGGTATATCAAGGACAATTAGTTTTGAGTTTAAGTATTATCACAGACTGATTCAGTAGACCCATTCTTAAGTCGAGGGTTGATATTAAAGAAGCAGGAAATATGCTTCAGGAGTTCTAAAAATCAAAATGCTATATTCCATAGATGAAGATAGATTAAGGTCCTGGAGTGCACAGTTCGCTGCTTTTGAACTGTGATAATTCAGCCATATGTAATCACATTATTGAAGAATGAACAAAAGAAAGAATACAGTGAGGGAATGTATGCCAACATTTTATTAGGGCAGGGATAGGCAACCTTGGCTCTTTTATGACTTGTGGACTTCAACTCCCAGAATTCCTGAGCCAGCATAGCTCAGCTTGGAAACCTCTCCCTTTCCCCTCAGCATGGCTGGCTCAGGAATTCTGGGAGTTGAAGTCCACGCGTCATAAAAGAGCCAAGGTTGCCTACCCCTGTATTAGGGGCTTATTTCAGAGAACGCCGGTGGATTTCTTTACAGTATGATCTGAATGGCGTTTTAATATCTTTATAATTTTTCCAAAGCAGAAATATTGCAATGTAGGACTATTTTAAGAAAGTTGGGTGTATCCTTTTCACATAATATAATTGGGCATATAACTAAGGAGATTCCATTCTTTATGACATGGAGGTTTGTGTGTGCTTGTGAGAGACAGAGAGACAGAACGAGCAAGCAAGCAATACCTTTTGTAGATACAAGATCATTCCCTTTAGTATCCCATGGAAAGTCTTCCATCCCCGTTTGCCTCTTGGAGCTGTCAAGGAAAAGAGAAAGTTGGTAAAATTTTACTTTGGCAAATAGGACAAATTCTGCTGATATCAGAAAAACTGTCTTTGTTGGTGCCAGGGAAAATATATATCTGTAGTCTGTCCACTCTTATTGTATTTTAGGGCTATGACACTTGCAAAAGACAGTTGCTTAAGACTTTGTACTTACCATACAAGTCGGTAGAAGCAGGTATGTCAAAAAAAACTGTATATGAACCATATCCTAGATATGCCTGAAGCTAAACTATTATTTCTTCCTCTATTTCCAGTCCATAAGTAGGAAAATGCTATATTATCTGGCAGATGACACATATCCCTTTCTTTTTTCAGATTTCCTTTTTTCTTCGACTGCTGACCCTAAAACTGTTGTCCTGGCTTAGATTTTTATCTGCATTCAATACAAAATTAACCTTCTTTAATAAAACCTTTCCCCATAGATGCCTATCAGATAGATAGATAGATATTTTTCTGAGTCCTTGTAACTTGAAAATTGGAGATCAATATAATCTCAAACGAAGCCACATTATGTTATATTACTGTAATGCACGGATGTCAAACTTGCCACGTCACGTGACGCAACGTATCACGACTTCTTTTGCATTGCCGGAGCTGGGGTGGGTGCGGCCTCCATATGATGCAACTGGCCCGCGGGCCGGCAGTTTGACACCCTTGCTGTAATGTAATGTTGTCCTATTCTTGTTCTTGTTTTCATCAAATGTATTTTTGTCTCGTCGTGTCCAGAATAATTTGGCAATAGCTTTGTAGTGTTAATTCCATGAATTTGCACAACAAGGTATAGCTGTCTGCTGTATGCTCTGTATCAAAATGTGCATCTATTTCATATTCCAGCCCACGGAGGACTCAAATTATATCTACATCAAAGGCAAACTGATTGCTCTGGAGATAGCTTAAACTCAGAGCAGTTCAGTGCACACTTATCAAAAGAAAAGAAGCCTTGGTTAAAAAAAGAGGATGTAAAAGGAAGAGACTTTGTCCTTCGCAGATTCTGTAAAATATAGCCATCATTCTGGCTGAGAAACCCGCACTGCATACCAGAGCTTATACCAAACACATTGACATGGAAAAAGCAGAAGGGACAGATTCTCCCTTAGAAGAGGCTACTATTTTAGTAGAAACAGGTATCTATCCTAATCCTGTGATAAAGTCAAAAGGAAGATCAGTTAGAAATGGGGCCTGGTTCAGATACTTGGGCTAATAACATTACAAAATTGATAAGGTAGCAGCAAGAAGAAAGGCTGAGACTCATTAAAAAGGGAAAGAAGAGATGCTATGAAGGGAAAAGGGAAGATGATTATTATTATTATATTGGATCATCGCACAGTCAGCCAGATGTTCAGACTGGATTTGGCATTTTCTCTATTATTATTATTATATTATTATTATTATTATTGATGATGATGGTGGTGGTGGAAGGGACTTTGGAGGTCATCTAGTCCAACCCCACTGCACAGGCAGGAAACCCTACACCATTTCGGACAAATGGCTGTCCAGTCTCTTCTTAAAAACTTCCAGTGTTGGCGCATTCACCACTTCTGGAGGCAGGTTGTTCCACTGGTTACTTGTTCTAACTGTCAGGAAGTTTCTCCTTAGTTCTAGGTTGCTCCTCTCCTTGACTAGTTTCCATCTGTTGCTTCTTGTTCTGCCTTCAGGCTCTTTGGAGAATAGCTTGACTCCCTCTTCTTTGGGGCAGCCCCTGAGATATTGTAACGCTGCTATCCTGTCCCCCCTCGTCCTTCTCTTTATTAAACTAGACATACCCAATTCCAGCAACCGTTCCTGATAAGCTGGACTAGGAAAGGAGTGAAAGAGAATGCAAGGAGGGAAGAGTTTAAGGGGCTGATAGACCTTCTTAAAGGGATATAGTCGCCAGAAGGGACACATTCAATTCCAAAGTTCACCAAAATTGTTGAGAGTGGAGGTGGTCCCAAAGACATAAATATTCCCAAAGAGGATGAAGATATAGAAGCCTATTTTACAATTTTTGAATGAGAGGCTACCTCTTGCAAGTGATCTGAGATTGAATGCGTGGTCAGACTAACCCCATAGCTATTTTAGAAAAGAGAATCAAAACTAAAGATACTCTTTCCATAGGGACTTCATTGTTGTTCCACTTTTGGCTTTACTAATTTGACACACAGGATTGGTTTTATGAGCCGAGGTGGCGCAGCAGTTAGAGTGCAGTACTGCAGGCCACTTTAGCTGACTGCGTTCAGCAGGTCAGTGGTTCAAATCTCACCGGCTCAAGGTTGAATCAGCCTTCCATCCTTTCAGGGTAGGTAAAATGAGGACCCAAATTGTTGGGGGCAATGTATACACACACATTGCTTACTGGTGTACACCGCTTAGAGAGTGCTTGCACTTAAAGCGGTATATAAGTCTCATAAATAAATAAATAAATAAATAAAATACTGATCTCTCCACATGATCTAATAAAGACAATGATAGGAGAAGACTCCTGCGAGTCCCCTGGACTGCAAGGAGATCAAACCGGTCAGTCCTAGAGGAGATCAACCCTGACTGCTCTTTAGAAGGCCAGATCCTGAAGTTGAAACTCAAGTACTTTGACCACCTAATGAGAAGGAAGGATTCACTGGAGAAGAGCCTGATGCTGGGAAAGATGGAGGGCAAGAGAAGAAGGGGACGACAGAGAATGAGGTGGCTGGATGGAGTCACTGAAGCAGGAGGCGTGAGCTTCAATGGACTCCAGAAGATGGTAGAGGACAGGAAGGCCTGGAGGAACGTTCTCCATGGGGTCGCGATGGGTCGGACACGACTTCGCAACTAACAACAAATAGACCAGCGGTTCTCAACCTATGGGTCGCGACCCCATTTGGGGTCGATCGACCTCTTTTGTGGGGTCGCCAAACGCGGCGATCCGCCATTTTGTCCCCTCCGGGGGTGCGCCGCGCCTCCGGGGGGGCGGTGCCGCGCACGCGCGCCGCGCGTGGGGGCGGTGGCGCGCCTCCGGGGGCGCCACCGCGCATGCGCGCCACGCGGGGGGGCGCCACGCCTCCCCCACGCGTGGCGCGCACGCGCGCCGCGCGCGGGGGGGGGCGCCGCGCATGCACGCCGCGCGCGGGGGCCCCACCCCCATGCGCGGCCGCGCCGCGCATGCGCACGTTTGTGTGACGGGGGTCGCCGTCATACAAACGTTGAGAACCGCTGAAATAGACTATCCAACCAAACTTAGAAAAGATGAACATTTTGCTAATCAGTTAACTGAGGTGTGCAGGAGCCACACTACAGGTAGTCCTCAACTTACGGCCGCAACTGAGCCCAAAATTTATGTTGCTAGGTGAGGAATTTGTTAAGTGAGTTTTGCCCCATTTTACAACATTTCTTGCCACATTTGTTAAGTGAAACACCACAATTGTCAAATTAGCAACACGGATGTTAAGTGAAGCTGGCTTCCCCATTGACTTTGCTTGTCAGAAAGTTGGAAAAGGGGATCATATGATCCCAGGGCACTGCAACTGTCATAAATATGAGTCAGTTGTCAAGCATCCGAATGTAAGCCACTTGACTTCTGGGATGCTGCAACAGTCATAAGTGTGAAAAACAGTCATAATTCACTTTAGTGCCATTGTAAGTGAACTGTTGTAAGTTAAGGACTACCTGTACTATAATAACAGGAGACTTTAACTAGCCTGACATCAACTGGGAGACAAAACCTGCAGCATTGGGAGATCAAACAGCTTCCTGACATAATAGCTGACAACTCTTGTCATCCAAAAGGTTGAGGAGGGAAGTAGAAGGTCAGCTATACAAGCAATCATCAACTTACAATCACAAATGAGCCCAAAATTTCTGTTGCTTAGCAAGATAATTGTTGAGTTTTGTTTCATTCTGAATCATTTTTTGCCACGCAGTTGTTAAGCGTTGTTAGGTGAACAACTAAGGGAACTAGCTATGTTTAGCCTAACAAAGAGAAGGCTTAGGGGTGACATGATAGCCACCTTCCAATACTTGAAGGGCTGTCTCAGGGAAGATGGGGTTGAGCTATTGTTTGTAGCACCTGAGGGCAGGACAAGAAGCAATGGGTAGTAGTTCACCAAAAGGACATCCAACCTGCAATTAAGGAGGATTTGTGAGAACAATTAATCAATGGAACAGCTTGTCTCCGGGAGTTGTGAGTGCTCCATTCGCTGGAGGTTTTCAAGAAGAGATTGGTCAGTCATTTTTCTGGAATGGTACAAGACCGCTGGAATGGATTAAAAGACCTCTGAATCCTTTCCGACTCTGTTATTCTGTATTTTGTAATAATCCTACATGGCAGGAAGCATGCAATGGAGTGCCCCAAGGTTGTGTTCGTAGGGCCAGTGCTCTTCAACATCTTCCTAAATAATTTAGATGACGGGGATAGATAGGGAACTCATCAAATTTGCAAATGAAACCAAACTGGGGGAGGGGAGGGGATAGCCAACACTTTAGAAGATGAGCTAGCAGTGCCTTCTTCCTTATCGCAGTGCCCCTGCCGAAATGCAAGGTAAAGCTGTAGACTGGAAATGCAGATATCAATCATATTTGTGGAAACAGAATGCCACAAAATGTCAGAAAAGCCATATTTCCAAGTACCAGGGAGAGACGTGGCTAAAATCCAGAACAGATTTTAAATCAGGGAATGGGTCTCATAAACGTATTTCTCTCTCTCTCTCTCTCTCTCTCTCTCTCTCTCTCTCTCTCTCTCTCTCTCTCTTTCCTTTATAGTTTCCTTTGTCTCCTTCTCCCCCTTCTCTTTCCCCTTTTCTGTGGATGCTGTCCGCATTTTCATCTTACACAGAATCCTGTTCATTGAGACAGGGCTGCTATTCTTTTTATGCATCCCAATTTGCAATTAAAGAAAAAGGAGGTCAATGGATGCCAGGAGGCCCTAGGCCAGTGATGGCGAACCTTTTAGAGACTGAGTGCCCAAAAACTGGCCCCACCCCCGCCCCATCCCGTCTGCCCATAGGGCCACTCACCGCCTCCAGGGCCCGCTGCAGATCGCCCAGGCAGCCCAGCAGCGCCATGGCGGCCACGCCCTCTGTCCGCATCCCGCAGCCTCAACTGTGCGGGATGGGGCCGTAAGGTTAGCCAAAATGGGTTCAAACATTTCACCCCTATGCTGGAAATGTAAAACAGCATTAGGTTCATACTACCATATGTGGTGGGAATGCCCAAAGATCCGTGAGTATTGGAACAGGACACGAAACTGGTTGAGGGATATATTAACACTGGACTTAGAGTTAAAACCTGAACTCTTCCTGTTGGGAATAAGGACAGAAAAATACGACAAGGGAACAATCTACCTGCTGCTACACATCCTGACTGCAGCTAGGCTTGCTTTAGCGCAAAAATGGAAGAGCAAAGAAATTCCCACAGAGGAAGAGTTAATACATAATATATTAGCATGTGTGGAAATGGACAGGCTCACAATGATATTAAAAGACAAACGTGGATCAGTTTATTATGAAACCTGGGATAAATTTTATCGCTGGAGGAATTTAAAGAGGACGGTCGGGATTAAAGATGAATGTTAAGATAGAAATATATGTTATTTTAGAACAAGTATTGCATATAAAAGTTAAATATATATGTGGAGATGAAGAATTGATTGTAAAAAGTGGAATAATCTGATAAGAATGTATATACTGGAATGTCACATCAAATCCAATGTTTGTTTGTTTTTAATTTATTATAAATAAAATTTGTTAAAAAAAAACTGTGCAGGATGGGGCATAAGGGCAGAGTCTTGTCTACGCTGCCTGGCTGCCATGTCTGCGCTGCTCCGTGTGGGCCATGCTCGGGGGCGATTCTCCTCCAGGAGGGCTGGTGAGGGGGTTGTGGGGGGAGGTGAGGCTGGGGCAATGGCATGTGTGCCCACAGAGAGGCCTCCGAGTGCTGACTCTGGCACGCGTGCCATAGGTTCGCCACCATTGCCCTAGGCCCCCAATGACCATGGGGGTGAAAAAGGAAGAAGTAAAAGAAATCCTGTCTTAAAGCAACTATAGCAGTGGTTCTCAACCTGTGGGTCGGGACCCCATTTGGGGTTGAATGACCATTTCAAGGGGGTCACCAAACAACGCAGTCTGCCATTTTTCCCCCCTTTTCCTTAGCTGTGTTACTCCCTTTTATTCTATTGGCTTTTGAAAGCCAATAGAATAGACTCTCTTATTTATTTATTTATTTATTTATTTATTTATTTATTTATTTGTGAGACTTATATACCGCTTTAAGTGCAAGCACTCTCTAAGCGGTGTACACCAGTAAGCAATGTATATATATATTTACATTGCCCCCAACAATCTGGGTCCTCATTTTACCTACCCCGGAAGGATGGAAGGCTGAGTCAACCTTGAGCCGGTGAGATTTGAACCGCTGACCTGCTGAACAGTCAGCTAAAGTGGCCTGCAGTACTGCACTCTAACTGCTGCGCCACCTCGGCTCTTGAATAGAGTCTAATTCTATTGGCTTTCAAAAGCCAATAGGAATTGTCCAGGCTGTCTCTGCCCTGCTGAGCCCGCCAAAAGTCCCATTCTGCAAACGGTGGTGCACCAGTAGAGTAGTCCTCGACTTACAACCGGTTGAGTAGTCCTCGACTTATGACCAGTTGGGGGGGTCGCGGCATTTAAAAGGTTGAGAACCACTGAACTACAGGTTTAAAAGTTGACCCTTGTAAAACAAGCCTCTCTTTCCTTACATCCCAAGTTGTAATAATTCAGCATGGCAAAGGGGAATGGTCCTTCTTGGAGCCTCAAAGAGCGCCCTCCCACGCCCTCCTGCTTCTCTCTCACTCACACTCTACTCACTCACACTCATGCCACTACTGTAACACGTACTCTTTTTGCAATCTGGCTCAGCATGGCTCTTGCGCACCAGGAGACCGTGCTTGTACATAGCAATGCTGGGATCCTGTGAGAAGTCCAGGAATGGGTTGCTGCTGCTGTTGATGCGTTTGATGGACTTTGAGTTGGGGTCTGCCAATTCCGAAAGGGATTTTCGCAACTCTTCTTCATCTCTAGAGGGGCAAAGACACATCAGAAATTCATCTCTTCCCGTTATTTGACATATATCCCATTCATCAATATTCAGCCAAGACTTTGACATACTTGAGATTGAGAAGCACATACCTAAAAACCTGTTCAGTGCAGTGTCTTTTTAAGGGACAGTGTTTTAAGGATTCCAAAGGCCCAGATTACCTCTGATTTTCTCAGTAATATGGGAGATTGTTATTATATAGGAAAAATGCCACGAACAAAACAGGCAATTGATTTATTCGGTACAGAAGATAGAATAGGTACCTGAGAATACTGCAGTCTTGTCTGACTTCATTCTACAGAGATTATACAGAGATACTTATTTTTAAACAGCGAGAGGAGCAATATTCCCCTTATAGTATTTTTGTAGTACTAGGTATCATTCAGGCATCATAGCAACGGTCATTATTTAATGTAACAGAAAGAGAAAGACCCATACTTTCTATATTGGCCAGTTTTATTTTAAAAGGATCCTATTAGTACATTTAAAATTAAGAGTTGAGCTAATAAGGGTCTTATGAACATGAAGTGAAGTACTGCATACCCTTCACACAAAAAGAACTCTCCCTCAAGCTGTTACTTCGTGGATATACTGTACTTATAGTTTTCTTAATAGATTACAAAACATACCAGTGTAGGTCTATCTACTATCACCTGTGTACTACTAAAACTCTTACTTCTATCATCTTTAATTGGGCAATTTTTTTTTAAAATCAAAGTACTTCAAATGGGCTTACAGACTGCACACAAACTCTGGGACCCATGGCTCCCATAGAATTAAAATTTGGCAAATTTTATAAATCATTTTAAGACAGAAATGATCATAAAGCATTTTAGGACACAATACAAAGTGTCATAAAACATTTCCTGCAATCAATTCCTGAGGTCTATGCTACAGTTCAACATGGGCTACTTTCAAGGCAGATCCATCTCTGAATAGTTCCCTGGATTTTTAGGAATTTTTCAAGTACATCAGAAGCTCCACCATTTTTGAGGGCTTTGAGGAAACTTGTAAAGAAATATCTCTGAAGCAATGACCAAAAGGGTCATGGGTTGTCTCCCTTCTGGAGAAGACTGAAGCCCAAATATTTTGAACAACCTTCCTTAGCAATTTCTGTCTATATAGTATATCCAAGATAACAATATGAGGGAGCTATTATGTTTCTTAAAAGAGCAAAACCATGCAATCCATCAGTATGAATTCTATCATATAGCAGGCACGCAAGTGACCATCATTTCCAGCTCAAAACTGTCATCCAAAATGATAGTATCCTATAAAACGTTACCTAAAACAAGAGCATTATATTTACTATATTTTTATACAGGTAGTCCTTGACTTACAACAGAACTGAGCCCAAAATTTCTGTTGCTAAGCAAGACAGTTGTTAAGCAAGTTTGTGCATTGGTTATAGAGGGCTTAATGGGGTGTGCATGGAGAATGTTTACCCCTTGCCCCTAAGGAAAGACATGCAAGCCCACCTAGCCAAAGGCAAGATATTTACTAAGCTGGACTTACAATAGAACTAGTTTTCTAGTTCTCAGAATTCAGAATGTTTTCATGAAAACCCCAAAAGAAAGCCCATTTGCCTTTTGAAAAGCAACTTTGGAACAAGATGAGATTTTAAAAGTTGCATACTAGAGTTGGACACTAGAGGGAGGTAGAGGATAACAAAAGAATGGAAAAATATTCTAATGCTATTTTTTTTCATGGAATGCCAAGAAAAGTTTATGAAGATTTTTGACAAGTGGTCTTTGAAATTCTCAGAAATGATTGATAAACAATTAAGGATGCAATGGAAAGAAGAACAAGATATTCTGGGTAAGTCTGAAATTAATCTGGATATAAATGTGACAAGGAAGGAGAGGGATGCAGAAAAGGATGTATTACAGTTTCAAATGAAAGAGGATGATGCTTTAATGTCTACGGAAGATATACAACTATTAAACTACAAAAGAGACTTGGATGGTTTCTTTTACTGGGTATAGAAAAGAGATAGGTTGTAAGGACTTTCTAAAAAGTGACAAAAATTGGCTTATTTGCTCAAAGATAAGAGATAATTAGTTGTTTTACTAATTACTAATGATTATTTACTAATTATTATTGCTAATTACTAAATATTTACTGGATTTTTGCTGACAAAGAATAAATGACAACAATTTTGGATTGTGTTTTTCGTTGAGAAATTAGATACAGGGTGAAGAGAGTTTAGGTTGCAACTTAAGACACGGCAATAAATTTCAATTGTGCATATTTGTTGGGATGAAGGAGGAGTCTTTTTTTCTTCCTCACACTTTTTTCTTTTATATCATTGTAGTTTGCATAATTTTTATTCCGTATATAGTACTTTAATAACATTATTTGAAAAAAATCACTGAAGTTCTTGTGCTCCCTATCATCATGGAATAGCCATAGGGGGAAAAAATCTTCACCAGGTTTTAATGATGAAGTTCAAGGAGAGAAGCAATCTAGAACTAAGGAGAAACTTCCTGACAGTTAGAACAATTAACCAGTGGAACAACCTGCCTCCAGAAGCAGTGAATACTCCAACACTGGACGTTCTTAAGAAGAGACTGGACAGCCATTTGTCTGAAATGGTATAGGGTTTCCTGCCTGAGCAGGGGGTTGGACTAGATGACCTCCAAGATCCCTTCCAATTTTATATTATTATTATCGATCATCACACAGTCAGCCAGATGTTCAGACTGGATTTGGCATTTTGTCTACCTATCGAGTCCTTACCCAGGACCTGGGATAGGCAGATGTGGATGTTTGATATCGTCACAGGATGGAAGCAGTTCCTAGTAAGGCCGCCTTTTGCAATTGACTAATAGCGAATTTGTCAATGCCAATGGTGTTCAGGTGGTGCTCCAGTTGTTTTGGGATTGCACCCAAGGAGCCTATGACTATTGGTACTACCCTTGCTTACTTTTGCCACAGTCTTTCTATTTCTATTTGTAGGTCTTTGTATTTTGTTATCTTCTCCAGTTCTTTCTCGTCTATTCTGCTGTCTCCAGGCACTGCCACGTACACTATCCAGACTTTTTTGTCTTTCTTATCGACAATTGTTAAGTCTGGGGTGTTATGTTGCAGGTGCTTGTCTGTTTGAATTCTGAAGTCCCAGAGTAGTTTAATTTTATCATTTTCTATGACTTTCTCTATTTTCTGATCCCACCAGTTTTTGCTTCCAGGCAAATGATATTTTTTGCAGATCTTCCAATGCACCATTGTTGCTACTTTGTCATGCCGCAACAATGGTGCATTGGTAGATCTGCAAAAAATATCATTTGCCTGTAATCAAAAACTGGTGGGAATCATAAAATAGAGAAAGTCATAGAAAATGATGATGATGATGATTATTATTATTATTATTCTGTGATATTGAGGTAACCCAGCTATCCATCTGGGTAATCCAATACTGATTATAAAAGAAAGCTTGAGGGAAGAGAATTCCAAAGGTCCCTCTTTCACCCCTTCAAGGTTCATCTCAAAGAGGGACTTCTCACATCCAGTTATGGCCTGGCCAGCACAGGAAAGGTTTGGATATTTAAGGTCTGAATGAATCAGAGTCAGTGGTGGGATTCAAATAGGTGAACAACTGGTTCTGTGTGTGGATGTCGCTTCCGGAAGTCCATTCTGGAAGTTCCCCATCGCACACACAATCTATCTATCTATCTGTCTATCTGTCTGTCTGTCTGTCTGTCTGTCTGTCTGTCTGTCTATCTATCTATCTATCTATCTATCTATCTATCTATCTATCTATCTATCTATCTATCTATCTCTATCTCTCTGTGTACCTGTACCTGTACCTGTACCTATCTCTATCTATCTATCTATCTATCTATCTATCTATCTATCTATCTATGTCTCTGTATCTCTCTCTCTCTCTCTCTCTGTATCTGTATCTATCTATCTCTATCTATCTATCTATCTATCTATCTATCTATCTATCTATCTATCTATCTATCTCTATCTCTCTGTACCTGTACCTGTACCTGTATCTATCTATCTCTATCTCTATCTATCTATCTATCTATCTATCTATCTATCTATCTATCTATCTATCTCTCTGTATCTCTCTCTCTCTCTGTATCTGTATCTCTCTCTCTCTCTCTATCTATCTATCTATCTCTATCTCTCTATCTATCTATATCTCTGTCTGTATCTATCTATCTATCTATCTATCTATCTATCTATCTATCTATCTATCTATCTATCTATGTCTCTGTATCTCTCTCTGTATCTCTCTGTATCTCTCTGTATCTGTATCTATCTATCTATCTATCTATCTATCTATCTATCTATCTATCTATCTATCTCTATCTCTCTGTCTATCTATCTATCTATCTATCTATCTATCTATCTATCTATCTATCTATCTATCTATCTATCTATCTATCATGCTTTTTTTCTAAAAAAAAAAAAAATGGTGCCTGAACTAAAAAAAAAAAAAAGGTGCCAGAACTCACACACGTCATACAACCCGCCTTGCCTACCCTACAAGGTTCCATCCAAAAAAGATGCCAGAACTCCGTTCTGGGCGTTCTATGAGAAAAAAAGCCTGTATCTATCTATCTCTATCTCTATCTCTGTATCTACTGTGGGTGGTTTAGAAATATTTAGAACAAATATAAAAACAACAAATAAGAACAATACAACAGCTTAAAAGTTTTACACACAGAGAGAGAGAGAGAGCGCCGGACACAATATCATATAAAATTTGCAGCCCATAATGCCATTCACCTGAACAATTGGTGCAGCCACTGCACCAGTTCCACCATACTCCCATAATCTACTTGGCAAAATCACACCTTCAGGGTCTTGCAAAAAGCCAGTAGAATCAGAGCCAATCTGGGAAATATATGGGCTGTCATTGGGGTTTTCTTGACCAGGATATAAATGATTCAGAAACCACCTATCACTATGTACAGTGTGTGTAGAGGCAGTGTTTCTACTGTCTGAGTGCTCTGCCCAATCAACTTTCCCCCCCAAAGGAGTGTTGACCTACTTAATCTAACAACCATTAGCTGGCAACAAAGGATTTATCTCCCTTGAATGCCCAAATCTGTGCAACCCAGATGCAGTCTCTATACAAATGTTCCTGGGGTTTGGGTCTGTGAGAGCCAGTTGTTAAATTCCTGGTACATCCACACAAACTATCCAAAATCATTATGATGTGTCCAACAGTGGGCATATTTATACAAAATGGCAGCAAAGAACTAGAATCTTCTTATATCTCTTGTATCTAGAAGTCCCTGAGATTTATGCAGCTGAAATGCTGCCACAAAATAAATATTATTGATGAGCTGAATTTAGAAAGGATTTTTGCTACATACTGCGTACATGGACAGGTTTCAAAATGTAGTCCTTTATAAAGCTGCTCTGTAACAGAGTTCTCATCTCCTACAGAGCCAGAGCAATGGTAAGCATATAGCGCAGTGTTTCTCAACCTTGACAATTTTAAGGCATGTGGACTTCAACGCCCAGAATTCCACAGCCAGCGTTGCTGGCTGTGGAATTATGGGAGTTGAAGTCCACATGCCTTAAAATTGTCAAGGTTGAGAAACACTGATATAGCAGATTCATCCTTCACCTTCAGTGTGTACCATAAAGCTATAGTAGTGGCCAAAATTGTGGAAACCTTTTGGGAAAAGGGTACAGTAGAAATGCCACCTTTGGTTAAGTTTCCACCAATTTTTCTTCTAATTTCTTTATAACTGTAGCCTTGTTCACTTCATAATACTATTTTACTTCATTTTCTGGGCAACCAGTCAACTCTTTGCACCATTACTTTAATTTTATTACGTTTTACAAGCTCACTCAATGAAAGAACACAAAAAAACCCAACCAACTTGATAGGGATCACATAACACATTGACAAATGTCCTCCTCTCAGCTTCAATACGTGACATCAATAACTGAATCCTACTGTGGTCTGATTGGCTCATTGCCAAAACAAGATGACACCTGATTGGCTCTCTAAACACTCATGCTCATTGGCTACAATCAGATGAAGGAAAGCTACCTGAGATCAACCTATCAAGTTGTGCTTCCTTTTTCTGGTTATTTGGCTATCACTTTTCATAGAATACAGTACAGATAATTGAACAAACTATGTTGCATTAAATTCTTGATTCAATTATCTTTCCACTGATACATAATTTTATGGTACTACTCCCAAAAAAGTGGTGTTATTAGCCATCCAACCTCAAAAATACACTTTTCCCAAAAGGTTGCCACAATTTTGGCCACTACTGTACATGAAACAGAATGGGTAAATACAAGAATAGAAGAGGTGTATGTGTAGCATCCATCCGTTGGGGACTTGAGGCTGAAGAACAGAGGCAGCAATCACTTTATATGGGGTCAGTTAACTCATCAGAAAGGAAAAAAAAAGCTCACAAGATGGCGGTAGAAATGGGGGTTCCAAGTCTCCCCTGGAGCCAAAGCAGCTCTGGAGAACAAAAAGAGAGCCAGCAAATGGAAGGAGGGAGGCAAGCTCTTGGTTTCCCTTTCCTCACTAGAAAGACACTAGCCTTAGCTCCTCCAGCTTTAGCTGAGAACTTTGCCAGCATTATTTTTTGCTCAGAAAAAGGCAGCCATTTGTGGGCTTGTGCCACGTGATCCAGGAAAGAAGAGACCTTTCCTCCTTCCCTATCCTGACCCACTTGAGGTTTGGGGAATCTTCTAAAAGTAGGCGAGCAATTGATCACAGGGGGTGGAAAGAAGTGCACAGAACCTGGTGGAGGGGCAAAATAGGCCAGTGCCCATGAGGATCTGGTGGGGCAACACGGGGGAGGGGGTAGGTAAAGGTGTACACGCTGCTCCATCTTTGCAATTGGTCATAAGGGTGAATGACTGCAGGGGTGCTGCAGCAGGCAAAACTTTGGGGCTGGGTTGTAAATACCTTTTGGGGGGGGTCTGTCGTAACTCTGATGGTCCCTAAGTGATCAGTTGTAAGTCAAGGGCTACCTGTATTCAAAAATATTTCAAGATTATTCAATTCAGGATCATTTCAGCTTTCTTTAAAAAAGATAGCTATAATCCACTAAAAAGATGGCTATTCCCTCCCATATATCCGACAATGATCCGCTTGATGATTACAACAAACTGGAGAAGGGGTCTAGAACAGGGGTAGACAACCTCGGCTCTTTTATGACTCATGGACTTCAACTCCCAGAATTCCTGAGTCAGCATGGCTCAGCTTGGAAACCTCTCCCTTTCCCCTCAGCATGGCTGGCTCAGGAATTCTGGGAGTTGAAGTCCACGAGTCATAAAAGAGCCGAGGTTGCCTACCCCTGGTCTAGAACAAGATATGAAGCAGACAGCAGCACATTTTATTTTCATTGTGACACATCTTGGATTTATATGAAAAATAAACAGGTAGAAATAAAAAATACAGGATAAGATTACAAAGTTATTCCCCCCCAAAAAGAAATATAATTTTTACTACAGATAATAACAGGGTACTCACATGGCCCACTGTAGCTTTTCATTCTTGATAGAACTATATACAGCCTGGAGAGATAAAAGAAATAGTATTATTTATTTATTCGAGGTTATATAACTACAGTACAATGGCAATAGTAAATGTTATTTTTTCTCTCCACGTTCCTATAATGTTAGAATTTACCTTACTCTAGAGAAGACTTCCCCAATGGTTAATGGGACTATCTAAGGAGTTGATAAATGGTTGGGGGTCAATGGGTGGGTGATAAATGATGGAAGGTTGATTGGGATCAATTAATCATTGAGGAACCTCTATAAAGCTTCATGCTAGTTGTAAAAGTGGTGAGACAGTATTACTCAGGGTTGGATAATCAGCCACCAGGGAGAGAGGTCTTGAGTTTACCTCTTGCTCACACAGTTCGGAAGTTTAGACTGAATTTGGTATTTTTTATCTTTCCTCTTTCTTATGATAATTGTTAAATATGGCGTGTTATATAGCACGTGCCTGTTTATTTGAATTCTAAAGTCCCACAGCATTTAGCTTCTTCATTTTATATGACTTGTGCTATTTTACGGCCCCACCACTTTTTGCTTGCAGGCAAATGATATTTCTTACAGATCTTCCAATGCACCATTGTTGCTACTTTGTAATCATCTTTTGCGATCTTCTTGCAGCAGCCAACAAGGTGGTTTACTGTTTCCTTAAGTTTCTTAAGCGGCACTTGTTGTCCGTTGTTGTCTTCTTAATTCTGGCTTTGTATGCATTTGTTCTTAAGGTTTGGTTTTGTGAAGCCAGAATTAGCCCCTCTGTTTCTTTTTTCAATTTCCTGCTCTTAGCCCTTGGCAGGTCTTGCCATTATCTGCTTTCCCTATTATTGTTTTAATGTACTGACTATGTCTTCCCATGCCTCTTTTCTGTTCATTTGGTCTGTCTTGTAGGCCAGTTTGGTCTCTCCAGTACTCAGTATTATTATTATTATTATTGTTGTTGTTGTTGTTGTTGTTGTTGTTCGTTGCACAGACAGCCAAATATTCAGACTAGATTTGGCATTTTTGTCTGCCTATTGAATATTATTATTAGTTAAAGGTGTTTTTATTAAATTATTTTCATATAATAAATGTTTGGATCTTAATAAATAATCTGAAACTTTATGAAGGAGTTGATCAGCTAAAGATTTTGAGGACCCCTGCTCTAGGGCTATCAGATCTGATTTAGATTTTTTTAGATTTCCACATTGCTATCTAGTGATTTTCTAGATTACTGTAATACTAGCCATACAGCAAAGGTAACTAGCAGCTTTATGAATGCTCTACCCTAGTTCAGTTCCAGTGTTTTGAAGGTTCCAGACAATATTGGAATGGTTTCTTTATTTAGAAAGTAATATACAATAACCCTTCCCACATAATATGCTTTGCTGAGTATTATTAGTGCAGGGCTTTTCAACCTTTTCACCGATTGTACCACTTTTAGAATATGGCATCATTCGAATACCACGAGTCATAGCAAGGTGTCAAAAACTCGATGACCCAAAAAAAAAAATGGAAAAAAGTGATAAAGTACAGGTAGTCCTTGACTTATAACAGTTTGCTTAGTGACCGTTCAAAGTTACCACGGCACTGAAAAAAGTGACTTATGACCATTTTCACACTTATGACCATTGCAGCATCCCCAGGGTCATGTGGGGGAGGGACACGAAGAGGGAGCCAACCAATCGCGGGATGTAGATTCTGATGGGCGGCCGGCCTGAGGCGCCGGCGATCGCCTCGAGTTGCCGTCGCGGCCTGATGAGACCATGCTGCGCCCAACAGGCAGCGTGTAGTAGCCAATGAGTGCCGGGCAGGGGGTGGCGCTTGAGGGGTGGCTACTGAGTGTGCGGCACCATTGTAGCCAGTTCGATCGGTATCGGGAGTTGGGAGCGGAGAGCTGAGCTCAGCGAACCACCCTAAAAACAATCCAAAGCTCTCTCCCAGCCTAACGTAGGCAAAAGTCAATTTTTTCTTTCTCTCCAAATAGTTCTTAAGATTAAAAATCAGAGCTCAGTAGGTATTTATAGTCCACAAAGGTCAAGGTGATAAGTATGCCAAAATATTTTGCTCTGTTGCCAGCTGTTCACTGTTAAGCTAGGAGTCACCAAGTAGCCAAGAAGCTAGGTTATTATCTGGGCTTCTTGCTAGGTCAGCATCAGTCCTTGCTGTTATAGTGCTATTCTTTAATCCACCACTAGATGTCATTCTATATCCATTTTCCACTCTCAAAACAGAAATTTGATTTCTTATATTTCTCCCCAATATTTTTTCAAAGAGAAAATCTTAACAGTTATCTCAATTCTCAAACTTATCAAAGCTTTATATTGTTTCCACTTCAGTATTATGTATTTCTGTCCCCCCTAAAAAAATTAAAACGCCGCTTCCGTTTCTCTGGAAGAGTAGGGCTACAGTACCCTTCCTTCTCACATTCGGAGGTTTTTAGCTTCTTGGGAGCCTTTTCCAGGAAATTCTGTTGTAAAATAGTAAAGAAAGGATCAATATTGTCACCCTGTTCCAAACACGCTGTTTACGATCTGCTTTGTTTCTTCAGTTGTCAGTAGTTGAAAGATGGTCGCAGGGATGCAGCCAGTCTTTCTCCTGCCAGTTTGGAGGGCTTTCCTCAGATTGAACGGAAAGACCACCATTTCTCTGTGATCAGCAAGGCACCCCTCCTTCTTCATCACCTCTTTGGAGCGACTTTAGGCCCTTTTAGGGTCCCCAGCAGGGCGAAATCAGGCGATGAAAGCAGAGCTCTGCCTTCCTGCGTCCATATCGCTACAACGTCAAACTGGAAGCTATTGATAAACTGGAGCTACTCCAGAGAAGGGCTACCAAGGTAGTAAAAGGATCGAAAACCAAGTCCTATGAGGAACAGTTTAAGGACCTAGTTATGTATAGCTTGCAGAAGATTATGTTGAGAGGAGATAAGATAGTTGTTTTCAGATATCTAAAGGGCTGTCATGGTATAAAAGAATTATTCTCACCTGTTCTAGAGATTAAGACTAGAATTAATTGGATGAAACCTCAAGGAATTAGATACAAATTAGACATTGAGAAGAATTTCTTGAAAGTAAGAATTGTCAATCAGTAGAAAAGATTATTGGATAGAATGGTCCCCCCCCCTTTACTAGAGGTTTTCAAAAACAGGCTGGAGAGTCATCTATCATGGATGGTATAGTGCAGGGGTCGGCAACCTTAAACACTCAAAGACCCACTTGGACCCATTTCGCAGGGAAAAGAAAACACTGGGAGCTGCAAAACTTACGCGCGCACACACACAAGGGGGAGAGCTTGATTGAAGAGTTTAATTAAAAAGAAATAGAAGCTGTTGTGCATGAGTTCTCTCTCTCTCTCTCTCTCTCTCTGTCTCCCTTCCTCCCTCTCTCTCCCCCCCTCCCTCTCTCTGATCTTCTGCTCACCTGGCAAGCTGGCTTCACGCTGTTCTCCGACAAGCTGACACACATTCTTATTGGGCTGGCTCTCTCCTGCTCTTGGTCTGCCAGTCCTCTTCCCCCACTCAGTGAGAGTGAGAGTGAGAGAGAGAGAGAGGGGGGGGAGGGATGGAGAGCTGCTGCTTCCTGTTTAGATGCAGCAAAGGCAGGAGCCCCGCCCAATAAGCTTGTCCAAGAACAGCTTGAGGCCACTCTCTTTTTGAGAGAGAGAGAGAGAGAGAGAGAGAGAGAGAGAGACAAAGAGAGAGAGAGAGAGAGAGAGAGAGAGAGAGAGAGAGAGAGAGAAGGGAAGTGCAAGTGCCTCTCTGTCTCTGCAAATGGCGGAGGAGGCTGGGAGCCACAGGAGAAGACTCAAAGAGCCACATGCGGCTCCGGAGCCATGGGTTGCCGACCCGTGGTATAGTGAATCTTGTACTGTGCAGGGGGTTGGACTTGATGACTCCTTAGGCTCCTTTCAATTCTATAACACTATGAGTACTACATTTCAAAAAACACATATCAACGGTTTAACAGAAAATTATTCTGATTTAGCAAACAACATAAGGAGAAATTTACATATAACAGCCTTCTATATGAAAGCAGGATAAAAGTATTACATTAAAAGAGGAAAACTCTTCTCCCCATATAGATTTGCCATTCATTAATCCATTCCTTGAGTTTATGAGTAACTTTATTCCACACAGTTGTGAAATGTGCTTAGAAAAATGAGAATTCCTGAACATTTTGTAGTCCTCATGCATAAACTATCAGGAAGCCATAGTATGGACAAAATACGACAAAACAGACTGCCAAAGGAGTGAGATAAGATGTATGCCCTCCACTCATTTATTCAACCTATCTGCTGAATATATATTGAGGGAAGTTAGACTGGAAGAATAGGAGTGTGGTTTTAAAAGTGGAAGAAGAAATATCAGTGACCTGAGTTATGCTGAAGATACTGCTTTGATAGACGAAAATGCAAAGGATCTGTAAGCTCTAGTAATAAAAGTCAAGAAGCACATGGAAAAGATGGGACTAAAATTCAATATAAGGAAAGTTCAACAACCAGCCTTGGAATGGTCAATGAAGATACTGAAGTGGTAGGTATCTTCTACCTGTTAGAACATAAAGATTGCACAAAAAGGTCTACTAATCCCCCAGATTGGTGGTTTATTTATTTACACAATTTACAGAGCCACCCATATCACAACAGTGACGCTGGGCAATGTACAAAATTTAAAACCATCACCAAAGTACAAGCTCACGATGCCCGGATTAACAATAACCCCCAAAACAAAACCACATCACCAGCATCAACAGAGTTGCTTGGCTGAAAAACCTGGAGGAAAAGTTAGGACTTCAGAGCCATACAGCAGGCTAACAAAGTCAGATTAAATAAATGAATGGATCATCAAATAAATCAACTCAACATTCTCACTTGGGACATAAAGGATCTGATTCAAAGTATTACACTTCAGACACATAATGTGAAAACCTAGTTCTCTGGAGAAAGCTCTAATGATGGGAAAAAAACGAATAGTCAGGAGCAAGCTGGATGGAATCAGTTACAGGGCAATGGCTGTACCACTGGGAGATTTGAAGGATCATATT